GGGTAAATACCTATAACTGATTACAATCTGGAGTGTGTGTGTGTGTGTGTGTGTGTGTGTGTGTGTGTGTGTGTGTATGTGTGTGTGGGCACGTGAAGGCCAAGTTATAAATCTTCTCTGCCAAAAGAATAATAGCCTTTTCCCCTGGTCCTGGATGACATTATCATAATCAGATGAGGCCTGCAGACACAGGAGACCCGCTTSGGTCCAAACAGATGTTACCTTTTTAAACGAGGGGTTCTGTTTGTTCTGCAGGCGTTTTTAAGACTGAAAAGAGAAAGTTTTTAATGTTCGCTGCCTCTTGAAAGAAGCAGAAATATATATTTTCATTGGACTTGTTTGAGTTTTTGCTTATTTTTCCTGCCTTTCATGTCAGTTCGATATTGTCTCTCTTTAACGACACGTCCTCTCCGTCCATGATTGTTTCTTGTACAACCTGACTTCCTGCCGCTCCATTCAGCTCTTCTTCTTTTGTTTTCAAACAGAATACTCTATCTGCCCCTCAGGTGAGCGTGTCCTCTGCTAACAACATAAACCACGTCTTAAACGTAATCTTCAGCGATTTAATCCATCAGTAAAATCTATAATCTCCTTCACTGCTTCTTTCTTTGCTGTTTAAATCAGTTTGACCTGATGTTTGTGTCGATTTCTTCCACTGTGGGATTAGTTTTAACCCATGGCTCGGTCTTAGTCCCATTAAAGCCGCCAGAAACACAGCTGTCTTCAATGCCCCGTGGCCCAATTACAATCCCACGAGTCCTCGTGGGAAAACAGTCAGAGCAGTCGTTCCTTTCTTTGAGAACAAACAGACAGACGCTCAGCAGAACAGCTGATGTTCACATTCAGGGTTAAAAAAGGGTTTTTCTCCAATCGGGTGGATTATATAACCGAGTCGCTGCAGGAGCTTTTTATTAGTTTTGCTGGAGTTTGGCAGCCTGTAGCTACCTCCAGTATGAAGCTTTTATACATCTGTTATTATTGTGGGAGTTAAAAAAACAAAAGTAAAAGAGGAAACGCCAAAATAAGAGTCACATTTGAACATATATTCTAGGATCATTGACGTAGGTAAATGTGCTAACCAATTACCATTGGCATTGCTCCGGTGATCAGCTAATAGCAGAACTAATTTTTCATTTATTGTATTCACTTGTTCACTAACTTAGAAAACCATTAGCAGACCAGTCAGCTTCTGTTAAATTAGGCTTTGCCAACTTTAAGTCAGCTAACAGCTAACTAACAAGCTAGCATCAACAGGTTTGTCAGTCCCGATGGAAGGAGACGAACACAAGTGACAGTCGTGTTAGCGATTAGCATTAGCTTCCGCTTATTGGTTTTGCATGTTTAGCATTAGCTTCCACTATTTTTTAAACTTGTTTAGCATCAGCAAAGCTTTAATTAGTGGATTATGAGTTAGCAAAGTTAGCTGCACCTATGGTGGTTGGTTTACACAAACTGATCAGATGACTTGTCATCATTTCCGGTTTGTGTGTTTTTGTCCTTTTTTTTAAATCAGTATTTACTACTTCAAGGCATTAATTGTTTACATGACTCCTGCTATTTTCATATTTTATTTTTAACATTTATCTCAAAAAGATGCTGAACTTATGCAATTTTTTACCAAATAACAGTCACATTATTTAATATCCATTTCTATAATTTCCAGGATTATAGCTGTTTATATTACCTCTAGAACAGGGGTGCCCAAATATTTTCCCCGAGGGGGCCAAAATGAAAATCTACCCAGGGCTGCGGGCCAAATGCAGTAAGATAATACATGAAATACAATTTTTTTAAGTAAAGTCCTTTATTTTTAACAATTAAGCTGTGCAATGTCCCTCTTTTGTTTTAGTCTGTGCACTTGGAGAAAGTCTGCCATACACTCAAGTAGCAAAGGCTCATGGGACATATCATAAATTGATAAAATATGAGTTTTGTGGCCTTATAAAGTGTGCAAATCTACATGTGGGGTTAAATCTGATCTAAATATTTCTTGTTGTTTCATGTTTCATGTTTAATCCTAATAAATCAAAGATAAAGTCAGCACCATGAATGAAAACTACCTTCACTACAGCCCTTTCATATACCGGTAGTCATTTGACCAACGGAAATACTGTGTTTCTACATGGGATAACAGCTTAGAACCTTGTAACTTTGGCAACTGTGGGTGGGCCAAATCAAATGGCTTGGCGGGCCAAATTTGGCCCACGGGCCCCACTTTGGGTTCCTCTGCTATAGATTGAGTTTAAAACTACACATCAATGCAGTTTTTATCTGTAATTTAGTTTTTTAGCATTCTCAGCAGAAAACAGAAACTGTAGCGCAGTAAGTACAGCCTTTTTTTAATAAAAATGAAAGATTTAACCATTTACTCTTTTATTTAGCAACTAAGTGTTTTTTGCTAACAAACATCTTGTTTATTTATAGGGGAAAAAGTTATATATTTTTTTACTTTTCATGATCATCTCCACATCTGCATGTTCAGATCCACCAAATACGTTTTAAAAATAAATCAGAGATTCAAAAACACAGAGGTGTTTCTGTGTTCATCTGTATGTTTGACTGAATCTGTTCTGAAGCAAATGACTGAAAATGTTTCCTGTCCTTCCCCCTCTGCAGCACTGTGAGGAGAACCAACTCAAACGAACACGTAGGGACTCTCACTCGGAAGGATTCGGGCGACTCGAAGGGCAACCGAACCAGAGCCGGGTCCACCGGCAGCAGCTCCAGCAGCAAAAGGAGCGACAGGTACAACGAGAATCAAGTGTTTTTCTCCGTGTCTCACTGAGCTGGAAGTCTCTTCAGTCGAGTCTAACAGAGCAGAAAACACTATTTTCCTATTACAACACTTGAAATGAAAAAGAAGAGGTAATTTTGTGGCTGCTGAGCTGCTGATTGACAGCTGTGTGTTTACTCATTTACTTTGCAGCAAACAGAGGGATCCAGTGTTCAACGCAGGTAAGAGTCTGAAGCTCTTTGAGTTTTCCTGCTGTGGTACAACTCCTCAGAAAGAACAAAGATCAGATGCTCAGTGGTTCTCTGTGTCTGCAGAAGATCAGTTCYTTTTATAGTTCTCATCTAAAGAACTATTTGTTTATCATTTTTCCTCATTTCGATGGAAGACTGAAGGTCTTTGTATCACAGAGGACCACTCAGAGTTGTGACGTCCCGCCTTTAAATGTTAAACATCGTTTCCATCATCCATGATTTCCCTCACCCATKTCTACATCCTCACGCTCCATTTACCTGCAGCTTTTCATCCTAATCAACCTTTTCTGTGTGGTTTCTATTTGACACACTGGAAAATGTAATCACAAAATGTTTTTCTTTCTTTGTCCTGTAAACTGATTCGATGCTGTTTTCTAATGCGGTTCAGACAGAAGAATCCAAACTTTTATGTATATATATATATATATAT